GTTAACAGCACTCCTGAAGAACACGGAGCTGGGGTAGTTGCCAGAGATAATCATCATTTTATAACTCCTCTGTCAGGGTACGTTGCAGAGTCTTCCATCCGCAGTACGTAACATTCCTTCGTCCCCGGTAAGGTTTAATATTTGGAAATGGAAATTAGGGTAGTTATTCTTTAGGGTAGGGTTCGCTAACCGCTGCCACCAATGCGGCGCGCCGAGAGCCACCCAAAGACGAAAAAGTCACAATGCTTAGGCCGAATGTTTTATCGACGTAGAGAAGGTCTGAGGGCTACTGACGTGGTCCGGGAGCCATCCCGCCCAGCAGAGGTACAGAGGGGGGGCCTCAATAGTCCTTAAAACCAAAACGATGAGTTAAACGAACAATAAAGGGACTACGGAACTTTATATTGCCCCGTGATGCAAGTTCAGCTACAAACCGCCAAGGTCGATGTTGATATGCATCTTGCACTCGCCTCATGTCGTGTCGCTTTGTGCAACCCACTAGAAGCGTGGGCCTAATCGCCTTTACGGTCCACTTCACGTCTTCGCCTGGTACCATGACGGCGTGAAAGCTGCTGTCCTCATTATACATTCACACTCACTCTGCGGCTCTTGGAGTTGCGTGATACTTCACCTATAAGGCACGCGTCAATAGCCTGTCGGTGAAGGTGTCTCACTTCCCACGCACTTGTGTGATCCGTAACTGAGTTAGTGAGGCTAAGCATTGGGGGGTGCAATCTCCTCACGAAGTTATATCTGCAATTGTGTGCTAGACTAGTTTAGGGTAATCCAGTAATTGACACGTAAATGTGGTGCAAAGATTTTCAGCTTATGCTCCTCTTATGAGTACAAGCGACTGGATTTTAGGACGTGGCTGTGAATGGGCAATAGGTTTTGCCCCTTTCATCTGCTGATTGTTAAGCTGTGGTGTTGGATAAATATTTTGTTGCTCTCACAATTATTCTACTAGCCACAAATAAGTAGAAGAGGGCAAATCCTTGTTTAACCAGAATGACTAGGACGCTGAGCTGAACGAGGCCAACAGATCATGGCATGACTTCAACAGAAGACAAACGCAAACCGTGTGTCGGACCTAATATGAGTTTTTTTTTTTGGTAAAGACCACCACCATGCACACTGCAGACATGCGAATTTGCTCCGGTAAATCTTTAACTTCTACATTTGTACAAATCCATAGTCCCTGGCTATTTATTAGTTGACAAGGAAGGAAATTTGAAAAAGCTTTGTACAGAACTCACTGCGAAACCTGAGCAGACGGACGAGGTTGGCCCCAATGACCTATTTGTATATCCAGATTAGGCTAGAATATAAAACCAAAACGCCGTCGGACCCGTCTCATCCACAATCAATAAAACTAGACTTTAAAAATGGGTAAAGGGAAGCCCCTTCCCCCTCCCCTGGGGATGCCCCCCGGTCAGTTACTAGGATAGGGGGACGAACTGGTGAGTGTGCGTAGGCACTTCGGAAGCGGGGGAGCTGTGACCTACTTCGCAAAATTGCTCGACGCCACTGAACCCACCACCCCTGTGGTGGCTTGTAAAATGATTCCACAAAATCCTTGCACACTAAGCACAACTGACCCGTAACAGACGCACCAAGCCAAAAGTTGCTCACAACAATGATAGCGTTCGGGACGAACCGCAAGTTAACTCCTCCGCTTCCCGAGCAATCCCTAACACAGCAGGACACCCCTTCTCGGTGACTTGATCCGGCGAAAGAAAACTGTGGCGAGGAAACGCCAAGAAGGCAAAACATTCATTTGGTTTTTAACGCAGCTTCTCGACAGCCCACCCCACGAGCCTAGGATTCTGGTGGTAGGGAAGGATGGCGCCTTCTGACCCAATTCCTCCGTGTGAGCGGTCCCAAACGGCTAACAACACAGTTTTGAACACCAACATCAAGTAGGTGACCGTTTGATAGTTTTGAAAGGTGAGAATGGTGGTACTAATACACAGGGAAGGTGAGCAAGCCATTGGCCGATGGCGACCCAGGCTCTAGGACTCACAGTTTCTTCAAAAGGAGAGTAGAGAACGCGGGCAGGCGGTGAGGGCGATCATGCCTTGGGACGAGGCCGACGAATTTTTAGAAAAAAGGAGGACGAATGGTCAACAACCCTCACAAAGCTTCCAGATAGAGACCCTCTCAACTATGGCCGAAAATGTTTATTATTGAAGTTGATTTAAGGATAAATCGCACCATGTATGCGTGAGATTTCGTCAATGATTATAAGTTTAATAATGATAGGAACCGTAATTTTTTGTATACCAATGGCGCGCGCGTAGATGCAGAAATGCGGAGCAGGTTGCATGCCTGATCGTTCCAATCGGCGACAGCCACCGGAAAAAGTGTCATGCCTTATCTTTACTTGTACTGCGGAGGGTGAACACGGGCATTACTGAACGCGAGTACTACAGGAAGTGCTTTGAGTGCTATGAAAGAGATTGAGAAAGAGAACGTCAGTGGAGAGAAGTCTGCCTGCTTGTGAGATATAGCAAGGAGGATCGGAGCAATCCTTGAAAGACACAAAAAGGCGGGATGAGAAACTATACAATCTTGTTAGTGCGGGCATTGTACGTCGATCGGAGGCCGTAGCGCAGGATGGAAAGACGGCGGACGGGAGGTTCAGGACATGGGCAGGGGTAGGGGAGCTCGCCTTCCCAAATATGCAAATCAGGGAGTCTGTAGAGCGAAAGGACTAATCGCACGACAAAGAGGATATTTCAATAACACCGGTTTGGTGCCTCGCACGGGCAAGAGATTTCGCGTGTAGTGATGAACCATAATGGGTACAGTGGGGTACGGTTGACTGTACTCGCCGAGAATGAAGGCCTCGGATTTGGGATCGTAGGAAATCTTCATGTGCAAGAAGTCCCGGTCGCGCCTTGAGAGAAGGAAAGGGATTACTAAATAGTGATAGAGCTATAGCTCGCTCAGCAGTTTCACACAGCTTAGTTTTATGATTTGGCATCAATTTAAGAGGAAATTGAGAAACTTTTCTCTCAATTTTCGATAGACTTCTAGAAATGATGGTGACGCCTCAAATGGATGAAAATGTGCCTCCACTTCAAGAGTAGGGAAAATCGTTCTTAAAAGTAAATTAAATTCCGCTAAGTAAATGGTGATTGCACTCAAAACAACTTCGCAGTTTGGCAAGTGTCTATAACGTAAATCGGTTTCAATTTTTGATTGAGCCAATACAGTTGCTTAGACTTTGTTTTCCTCGAAAAGTATTTAGCTATGGGAAGGTATTTTAAAGCATCATACTGTGACGTTGCTTAATTATCAAGCGCCAGGCCTCGGACACCAGGAAAAAGTCCTCAATTAATGGTTCATGTGTATACAGGCGGCTCACGTGGAACTGTGCATCAAGTAACATTTGTCATTTCAGCAGCAGATGTCAGCACAAAGTAGTGACAACTAGTCTCCTGTTTAGGGCAGAAGAACGCCATAGGAAGTAATTATACATAACTGCAGTAACCGAAAAAATAATTGGTGAGTGTAAGTATCCCCAGGTAAGCATGTATTGGGTAATTGTTGATAAAAGAACAAGGGGCAAATCTCGCACTTTTGAGTTATACGTTTGATTCCAGCTCTTCTGGACAAGAGCCTCGTCCTGAAGCCCTGCAAAAAGCAAGCAGTGTCAAAGTGTATTAGAAATAAGGGCGTACTGTAGGGAGTGTTACCCCACCTATATCTTAAAGGTTTGGCTTGGCCAGAATACAGTAGACGTCGAGAATTCAACAAGGTCCAAACATGCACTCGTTCAACAGATAGGATTACTTCCAACGCAATCACCGGTTACAATCTCGATATTAGAGTAGCTGAAGATTGATAACACGTCCATGCGAATACACCGTCCCAAATGGCTAAACACCCCCGGGCATGATTTTGAATGTGCGACAACTACTGCGATAAACAAGAGGTGGATATTAAAAGAAGTCAGTGTAAACACAATGAACGCGGGGTGCTGCCACTTCGTATGCGGATGGCTGTACGGGAACCACAGCTACGCCCACAAGCCCAATCTCTTCGTCTATCTCAAATAGACATTTGTGCATATAAACTACAAAAAGTCCACTATCTTACATCCGCTTTCCTGCAGCCTCGGCAAACGGCGCCGGATACTGCGTAGCGCCCCAAATTTTGCGCATGCGCAAGCAATCAATCTGTGAATACGTTTCCCATTTGTAGAAAGGTAGCAACCAAGTCCCAAATCTCTCTATAAGGGAGCACTACCGGTGACCACTCTGAACTCCCTAACCATTGCTATTGTAATTCTTGGACTGAGAAACACACACACTCGGTTTGGCGCGGACAAGGACAAGTGGTTAGCACTAACCTTATGGACAGAGAGAATGCGGCCTTGCTGGTCTCACTAGTGCGCACAAGGAAGCTGCCTGGAGGAGCTGAACGAAGTAGCGACTCAGCCTCCGCACGTGGCAAATGACCGTGAAACCACCTGAAGAGGAGAAGGGATGGTGCATTGAAAGCTGTTTGTTACTGCAACCGTGACAACGCCTGCTCAAAAGCAGTCACGCGCGAGCAGCCAGGCCCGTTGCAGACAGCATCAACGCTGCCGCACGCGCATGCACCCGCGTCTACCCGACTGGTGCGCCCGTGTCCGCCGATCGATAAGCACACGCGCGCGGACACGCAAACGGATGCACGTGTGCATGCATGCACGCACGCATGAGGGCTTTCGCTCAGGAGCGGTTGCGACGGCGGCGTGCAAGCGTTTTAGGCAAAACAAACTCTCTCAGTCTGCAAAACTGCACGATCTGGTTGCACACTGCACACTAAATAGGATCTCACTTCCCTCTTTTGGAATTCCAAATAGAAGGAAGGTTTCCCAAATGAAAGGTGGCAATAAAATGGGTTCTGCGATCGCGAACCGAAGTAGACCACGCTCGAATTCACTATCTCTTGGTGCTTCCCTTAACCCTTCCCCATACATCTTAACATAACCGAAGTTGTGAAATTGGCGGCGTGGGCAATTCCCAGTAGCGAACAGCTCAAACAGAAAATGATGAAACAGGAAATTAATGATGAGCAATATGATCCATCAAAGTACAAGACCACCAACAGAAGTTTACAAGCCATCGTACTTGGCAGTTCGCGCCGCTTCAATAACCTGCTGGGTCCACGCCATTATAATAATGCACGCTATACATAGCCAAACAGAGGACAGTTCCCCACTTTTGAATTCTTCACATAGAACCTCGTGTTCGAGCTCCTTTTTAGTGATTTAGAAATGTTTGACTAAGCACAGGGTCAAGCAAAGGATCCGCCAATTTTTGAAGGCTTTAATGCCGCTTCATTCTAAATTAAATGGTTTCTAACCTAGGGAAAGTTGTGCATATCCAATGCTCAGCATCCAGCTGGAGGACTTATTGATGGATTAAGTGCAAGTTGAACGGCCTTCTAAACCCATATGCAATAAAGCGCTATCGTGAACACAGATCTACTCTTTGTCGTGCTTGTCCAAACCACAAGCGAGACAAAACACTACACAACAGACGCCTTTTTGTCTTTAAAAAGCAACCTTTACTCACGGTTGTTCCTCAACCGGCAAAGAGACTAGAGCCGCTAGATCAGCCGCTCTTTTGCCACGATTACGTCCAGTAACAAGGACCTGCGGTCGCCCACTGTGTGGCACACCGACCTTAGTGGAGGTCGACCTCCTCTCCATCGGGAAGCCAGCCTCATCCCCGGTAGGGACGGTGATAGGCTGCGTGGGATGGTGGTAGTGGTTTTGCTGTCGTCTACGTTGACCGCTCACAAGTTGGTGCTGCGGCCACACCATGTAGGCCTGGGCGGGCGCCGTTTGGTACTCAAACACCCGACCATCTGCCCAAACACCCTCGTCAGCACTCATCTTCGCACCTATATGGGGCGGACAGGAGACTTGACTCTGGAAGAAGTAGCCTCCGCCAGGAGGCACATCGCCAGGCGAGGTGGTGTTGGAGGAAGAGGAAGAGAAGAAGACGTGTCGGCCATGATAGACAGGTAAGGAGGTGGCGTCCTGGGGCGAGAGGACGAGCCCCGAGTCGGTGAGATGAACGGCCTTCATGCGTCGACAGATGCGCTGTTGCTGACGCTGGTCGTGGAGGTTGGAGGAGTTTGAAGAGGCGTCGTCACAACCAGGCCAGTTGATGAGCGACTGTGTCATCATGTCCGCATTCGCAACTGCTGCAGCTGCGAGAGCTTTGCGCTGATTGGCTCCCGAGGGGCGCTGATGACGAGCGCTAGAGCGAGCGCTTGGATGGTGTCGAACATCGCAACCTACGCGCACAAACTGGCCCGCTGACTCATTGCCTAAATCCAGGGGGAGAAAGAGTGAGTGAAAGGGAGGGGAGGATAGGGTGGGGAAAAGGAAGACAAATCAGACCGATTACTTACATCTTACCAATGGGTTTAGTGTGGCTCCGGTAGTCAATATATCAACCCATAAATGTAAATCAGTGCACTACGCCGTGGAGCAGTGATTTATTCCGGTGGACGGATTACGAAACCAGCGTCAGTTAAGGTGGAAAGTGTTATGTGTGAGAAAATAAGATGAAACTTTGTAACTTTAAAGGTTGGAAAAAAACCATGTGGTGTAAGGTGGGTAAAGCGTACTGTGAGGATGTGGATGTTCTGCGGACTAAACGTGACGTCTCAACTGGCTGACCCAAGATGTCTGATTCCGGTAGGTGGGGCACACTCATTAGGCATTGAGTGTTTCGGTTAATATACGCACCGTCTAATTAGTTATGGAAAGGAGGATCATGGAGTCACGGTAACATGGAGCCACGCTCAGGAACACCTAGGAAAATTCTACGCTACATCAAAATGGGGTCGTAGGCCACAGAATATTTCTTGATATAACGATTACTAGTGAACGGCCTACATGAGCTCAGGGAATGTGATAAACGCAACTAAATGAGTCTCTAATGGGACCAAATGCAAGCAACCGAAACGTCTTTGCAAAAAACTTGAATAACGATGGAAGTGGGAAATTTTGCCCACATCGATTCATGAGCCATATTGGCCGTTGAAAGTTGCTGTGCTGTCAGCGGCATTTTTCTTACCAAAACGCCCCAACTGGGGCAGACTGGTGCACTTAGCCGCGCGAACACGTAAATTCACGTTCATAATGACCGTTGGGTGAATTTATGGATAGCCTTACCGCTAATGAGCCATTGGTGAAAAAAAACGTGAAACAATACCCAGGTGAATCACATCTTCCAGGTTCCGTAAAGGACCCCCGGGAGAGAAAACTATCAATGTGGAAAACTTATTATCCATCATCTCAGGCAATTCAACATGGGTAGGATCTGCTGAAAACCGTAGATCAAACATTCACGTAGGGATTTGAGCGACCTAACGCCTAAAAACACAATAAAAACGAAGAGTTTCCCACAGTAAAGCCCATGCGTGGAGCCATCATTGCCCAGTGAGCTTTTATTGCGGCTCCCTAGGAGATCCATTTTCACCAATGTACTCAAAATGAGTAGTATTTCGGTTTTAAGAAAGAAATTTTAAAGAAGCAATTTACAAATGCGGTTGAGTATCACCATAACCCACTGTTTACGAAACACTTTGTTAAGTGTAACTAAATAACTGCTCTACAGGTCGTAATTCCATCAGTTAAACGAAATGAAATTAGTACGAAATCCCAAGTTCAAATGTAGAATATAATTTATGCGTGTGTTCACTCGCAAGATGTCAAATTGTGGTCATATTATGTACCAGTTTGGAGAATGTAATCGAAATTATCATTCCAAACTGCATCAAACATGCGAAGACTATGCCTTCCTGCATACGGAAAACAATGCCAACATTTAAGTCAATAATGGAGTTAATCTAGCCCAAGAAACCCGCAAGTGACAGCAAGAATAAGAGGAAGGGAAGAATTCAATACACTCTGACAAAATTATCCAAAATGGAAGCTAAATTACCAGCAATGGAAGAGATGTCGGGACAGATAAGGGAGATCAACGAAGATAGTGAAACAAGGGCAATAAAACATCCTGTCAAAATTGCTCCAGTAAGGTCGCCTTCTGGAATGCCTCCTCAAGAAAAAGAGGAACATACCAGTGCGCCCATAGTGAGGAAAAGTTACTTCAAAAGTATTCGGGCGATACGAGGGCCAGAACCGTAAAGGGCCTTCGAAGTAATGAAGATGGAATGCACTCCACCACAGACAACACAGAACCGACCCTCGTGTAAACGGTAAGAGGGTAGGCTTACGAATTGGTTTTGCCAGTTGGTTAGCTTTTTAACAAGATACCTCTGGCGCCTAAGAAGCTTAAATAAGCCACAGAAAAGCTGTCTTGGTCTTTCAGGAGAGAAAAAGGGAACTATATCTACTTTTTACGAAGCCAGAGCTTTTTAGAGTGATGACGGAGTAGGCGGATTGTGCAGAAGTAAATCCAGCAAAAATGACGAGTCCTGGTACAGATATTGTACGCTCTGCAACTGAGAGCCGTCTTTCCATAGCATCTAGAATTTCTAGTCTTCTTTACTTCATCTGACCAGAACTCGGATGTGCTTGTTAAATCTACTAAGGAGGAAGGCGAAGAAATTGTCCCTCACCCATATTCTGCTCATAAACCTTGAAAACTTGAAAGCCTCGGGGTTTATGGGGAAAGTTAAGTATCACTCACTACTCAAAATTACAGTTTTGATAGGGAAAACAGTAAAATTTTTAGTGCTAGCGACTTTAAATAAATGCATCTGCACTACTTACCAGCGAAGGGCGAATGAACAGTGATAGCAACATTTACAAATAAAAAAATATGAGACTCAACTTAAAAATGGACATCTTGGTGACAGCCTGAGTCAAATCCCGGAGGCACTTTGGTAGATTGCCAGTTTGCACAGATACGCATACTCACGAGTCGCCACTAAAGCCGTGGAATTCAACGCCTCAACCCCATCAGCGTCAATGAATGAAACTGACAAAATAACACATTCAAAGTGCTCAAGAAAGGAATGGAAAAGCAGTAGACAGTTGGCAGAATGAACCCACCATCAGGAACGGATTCGCCGTTCCCGAACGGGACAGAACACGCATGAAGTAATTGAGGTGACACGTTAAGCTTAATTTCATAAACATCTGTCTACCTTTGAAACTCAGCCAAACATTTAAGAAAATTTTTCTGAATGAGCGGGATGGGGAACGAGGTTGCAGATAACCAGCGTTCATTAATCACAAAATACTTGCAAAATATGAGATTGCGGGCTCCACCTGACTTCCTACTTCATTAGTGTTTCATTGTTACAATATGAATCCACCACTTCAGACAAACAATTCAACATAACAGTTGTACAACTTAAATGAGTCTGGTAGTAGAACCGCTGCTTTCTTACGCCTCTCATCCGCATAATCGCAAAGTTGTAAAATGCTAAATTCAATATAACCGACGGCGGCATCTGGGATAGCGATACGAGGAACAGGACTGCCCATTTTGCCTCTTTATGAGAGCTTATTAATTTGAGTATTCGAAATACCCTGTCTTGGAGCTGTCACTCTCGACGTGAAAGACAACCCAGCACTCAAGCGCTGCGCACTCACCCCATACTCCTCTACCTGACAAAAACGATTGCTGTCCAGTGGACACTTGCGTCCCAAAACCGTTTTATGGACAATACAACGGGAGCAAGAATACGAGAAAATTGAGAGAAGTGGTTTAAATGTAAGTCACTCTTGCCCCTTCTACTCCCCAAATCCGATTTTGAAGATGTAATAAAGAAGGCAAAGAGTGGAACGTAACCAGTAGCTAAACTGGCGAGTAAATTTAGCTATCGCTGCCATCTCACCGTAAGGCAGTCGTGGTACATGTGAGAATAAGATCTATTCATGGCACTTCCAACGAGTGTGCTTTTCATCAAGCTCCGACATCGTTTCTTGCTCTCAATCACAGTCACAACAATAAAGCATAGGTCTTCACCGTCATACAATAATGAACGTAAACGTAAACAGAAATTAATGCTTCGCATAAAAGGTGCTGGTTTTTTTGGACAACTTCCTCGAAATCGCTTTCGAGCGATTTGTGGATTGACGCCATTAGATGAAGTACTAGATGTCGGTTTGCACCATAATTAGAGTAAATACTTATAATTAGTCAAAATACGGTCAGATAATTACTGATAGCGAGTGAGTGTAGGACACAAATTGCTGATAATTTGCTTTAGAACCGCGCATGCTGCACAGATGATTCACTTCGAGTCGAAATCGGAACACCGACCACTAGAAAATTCACGGCATATTGTGTGTGAAGGCCACGACCCCTGGACGGAGTCTACGGTGGAATCTCTGCATTATCAATACAAAAAGTGCGCCCGCACTGTACTCTCAATTACAGTAGAAGGGGTGAGAGTCCACCCTGCTGTTATGACTCATTTGGAAGCGAGGCTAGCAGGTAGGTCGAGTTTGGTGATTGGAGGAGTGGTGGTAGTGTCGGGAGGAAAGAAGGACAGATCCAGACCACCGGCAATAATCATGGGACCTCCAGGGGTGTCGCTGTTATAGGGTGGCCATAAATAAACTAATGCTTTTAAGTGAAGAATCCCGTAGGCCTGTCAATCAAACATCTCTAACGGCGGCCCAATTTTTGCTGGCCAGCACCATGCTGGGTATATGAATAGACTGTGAAATACAAGTGCTTCTAGGGGGACGATCGAAGGTAAAGAAGTACGCCCCAATGGTGCTGCTAAATTGGAAAAGACCCCGGTAATCGTGGCAACAACTCGAACAATCTTCCCGCATTGAAGGCAGATCGGGCTTACTATTACGACTCCTGAGGACTGTGTTAAGAAATTCCAGTCGATCTCTCAAAGTGAACAGTCGAATGATGACAACTACTCGGACAATTGACTCAGTCAGGCTAATAAGAAGTGCCAAAAATGAATAAACACACGAAAATGAAGCCCACTCTACTCTGGAGGATCATCTTTACCACCTTATTAAACAACGTTAAGAGGGATCTGTCTACACTGAATCCTGACCATATTTTCTTTTGTACAAAGAAGGAAATTGCTAAGAAAACCCCTATTATGCATAATTAAAAGTATGAGCGCATAACACAACAATTGCGCGGAAGAAAAGCACAGACTGTTCTAAATAGGGAAAGGAAAAGAAGGAAAACGAGTGCCTCTTCTGGCCTATCAGGATCTGGGAGGATAACGCTTTATTAGGAAAGCAGCCTCGAGGCAAGCTTTGCGAAAGCCTCAAAGGATTGCCAGTTTTAATTAGGCGGGTTTCTGCCTGGGGTCGACAATTCAATGGCTTACTACGACAAATCACAACGGCCTACATAAATACTTTGATGGGATGATCAAATGTAAGCAGTGGTAGTCCAAATAGATGGAACCATATTAAAGACCTATGATCACCTATCATTTCGGATAGAAGAGGAGAACTGCCAACCACCGAGAAAAATTGGCACGAATTTACGGGAAAACACAGCGTTGCAACGACAATTACTACCGAACCACATAACGGAGTAGACATTGCGACAATGTGGCATTCCCTTCAGAAGGAAATGTCTGAAGAATTTTCTGGATACACAAACAGATGGAGAATTTCCGGCACGGAGAAGTATGAACCCCGATTACATCGAAGATAAATAAAAGGACTGATGTTGTAGGTTATTGGTAGCAAAAGGAAACTAAAACTGGGTAGAACTTGCACAAGAAAGATTGGTAAGTAGAATGACCTCCTTCGATGGAACCAAAAAAAGCCCAAAGCAAAGCTAAAGGGTAGCAAAATTGCTACTAAATGAAAGAATAACAAGAACTGGAACAGCGTTCGATCAAATAAGTCATAAAATTGTGCCTATCTACAGTTTTTACGTTTGTTTCAATGCAAGATCACCTATTGTTATAGCGGTAAATTCGCTGGCTGGTTGCAAAAGCATTCAGCATAAATTGAATCCACCACCCAAAATGATGTATTGGTCGAGGTGTAAGATAACAACAAAAGATTAAAGGATCTGTTCCTTAAACCCCCACGCCCGCGTAAGTGGGGAGGAGAGAAATGCAGCACAAAAGAAGGCGTGACCTTTGGTACCCCTTTGCACTTTACCTCCTCAAAAGATTTTCAGTTGCAAACATCGTCAACAGCATACCGTGACTACAGGAATTGCAACTTTGCCTGCATACCGCCGTTGTTCCCGTGGCCGTCTGGACAGATATCATCGCCTGACCCCAGACTTGTTAAATTATGCGATCATCGCTGTTGGCAAAAGCGGCGGGGTGGGGAGGGATGAAGAAGATCGAAGCAAGGGGATATCTTCATTTCCGCCCCTCAGGTTCTCGTAAAAACCAAGCTTTACCTCTCTTGAACAGTGGAAGTAGTACCAGCCAGCACCACCCCCTGCGTAGACACTCATCGAGACGTATCATTGCAAAGTCGTCTTCTGTGGGTTGAGGACAGCGGCAAATCATTCTCCACACCGCTCTTTGATCTCACCGCCTGGAACACACATACTGCACAATTATGTTGCTCTAATGGCTAGCGAACTGGGAGGGCGTAAATTTGGGGTCACTTTTGCATGCGTTTGCGTGTGTCGGGTGTCAAGTCGGTGGAGTAATTAGGGCGACCATCAACATCTTCAATGATTCACAGTATCATTTTGAACCACTGGTGTCCGATTCGCCTATCCCACGATTAACCGCAACGTTTAGAAGAACACGGCTTAAAAAGCGACAATAGCTTAATTCCCATAACTTGTGGTAAAACGGAATGGCAGGTCTCAGGGGTAGTTGAAAGTACTGAAAAGCAAAAACAGAAAAGGCGTTACCCAGAATGGACAGGTAGACATTGCACTCATGAATTGCCACCACCGGCGTCGCCCAAATGGTAAACAGATTAAGGTAGATGAAGATCGTTACATCCGAGAACTGCTTGTTTAGCGACTTCGTCCCTAATAATTGCTCCCTAAATCGTACTGCAGAATAAAGTAACCTTTAGAAATAACTACACGTTGGCCATCAAGTGGCTGGTGCTTGCAATGTTCAGGAATAGATTATGAAATAGACTTAGAATAAATACCTAATCTTTGCATCTAGAAAGACCACCTTTCAACCAAAAGTCATGAATTCTGTGCTGCAAGACGGTGGTCATCAACGCGATCTTCCATTTTTCTTAAGAACAGTAAATTTTACTGCACAAGCCGAAATCCATGAAGTTCATGCTGCTTCACTAATGTACCCGACCTAAATTAATGGGGCCTAGTTAGAAGGCGTCTCCTTCAAAGCGCCTTAAAATATGACTGATTGGATGGGTTTATTCGTAGTCGAGAAATACTTTGTTCTTAACCGAGAGAAGGAGATGATACATGATTTTGTTGGCGCGTGAGAAGGCAACTTTACTACAAAGTGAGCCGCGTTGTTTTTTGTACCTTGATGTCAAGGTTGGATTTCGAAAACATTGATAGATTTTCACTTTGCACGATGTGACGAATTTGGTTGACTCAAGTAATGCAATTCAACGTAGAAATTTCGCATCATTCAACATCAGAAAAGGTAGATTGCTGCAAGTGCTCAGAAATGTTATCCCTAGCCTTAGTAGCTAAAAATGCAGCCACCTAAACGGTCCAAAGACAATTTGATCACAGTTGAGCAAAGCTACAGCTGCCTTCTTATAGATGTATACCATTAGCGTTACTGACAACCACCAAATGGCGGGAAACAAGTGTAGCATAATAGAGTTTAAAAGGGTAAGGGGCAGGGAACTATGACAAACGGTGTTATTACGGTCGTAGAACCGGAAGCACCAATCCCCAACACGTGATGCGGAAGTTGGGAAAGGAAAGGCCACCGACGGCTGTGCATGTGGGCGTGTGCGCAGGCGACAAGAGCAGCTGTAGCGGCACCAGTAGTGGTAGGAGCGATGGTGATCAAAGACAGAAGGCTCCCGTAGTAGCTGACTAAACACGCACATCACGTGATAGTTCTACCCAAATACATCCTCGCTTTTACCTTTATGGCCTGAAATTCCGCAACGTACACCTAAACGTGGTAGTGGTAGTTATGCATTCCGGTTCATGGGGTAGTTTTTTAGTTGGATGAAACCCCGAAACGCCTACATTGTGAACAAATACACGCTGGCACGTCACATGTACTTTGATTCGCTATGCAGGATTCAAAGCCGCATACATGCATCGTCCAGTGAAAATGAACATTGCACAGCAAACATGAGCAATTTCCCCAAATTGCATAAAAGCATGGTTTCAATTGAGAATGGAAATTGAGGCATAATGGCTCCGAGGTAACTTGACATCTAGTTGGCTTGTACCCTGACGCCTACCATTTAAACCCTTCAATTATACTAATTAAATTGGACAAAGTGAATAGAATGCATACGCAACAAGACATGGTTGTGGCAGCAAGACAAATCCTTTCTGATAATTCTAAAAATCATGACATAGGCATGAAAGCCCACTGCAGGCAGCCCCCCGTCTTGAGTGCAGACGAGAACACTACTTTGTTAGTGATGGCTAACATTACCAAACCTTGGGATAATAAAAATGTAGAGATTTTCATACAGTTTTAATGCGTACCACAATTTCACCTGGAGTAAATCATAAGGAGAGGGCGTTAAAGGAGACATATTGACCCTAATAAAGAAGTTAAGAGGAAAAAAACATGCCGTCTCAAATTATTTTTCCTCGAACTCACAACGCTATTTACCGCGAGCAACTCTTTCTTTTTTTTCGTCAAAGCGACTGATTAGGGCCTTACTTGGACTTGTTCTGCAGCTGCTGCTTAATTTGCATAAAAACAGACGCACAATCATCGCTGAAGTAAATGTAAACAAAATTGGGGGAAAATAAGTTTTTGTTTTCTACTGAGAACAAAAAAATTTCATTGTCCAGATTTGGACTTAACAAGAACACCCATGAAGTCATGACCTAGTATTGTTTATAAATGAAAGTTCAGGAGAAGTACAATTCAAAGAATAAAAATCTCATCCTTACATTCACGTATGACACCAGGACGAAAAATTGGAATACATGCGGTGAGAAAATGTGATCATGACAAAGTGCAAGAACCATTTAGTGTTTCTGCATAGGCGTGGGTGGAATGCCCACACTGAAGTCCGCGAATAGCGGTTTCGGAGATAATGATCAATTCCTACGCAATGGTTTCAATAGATGTTGTAACAATTAGTGCAGCAAAACCAACTACGACGGCAAAAAACAATATCTTATCTTTGAGAAACAACACCGAGTCGAAGGGAACAAGTTGCCTGTACAGTTAAGGGGGAATTATGAAGCCTCATAAGCTCATAGCCAATTAAATCCCCGAAAACACACCTGCAGTACACTGAAACAGAGTTATCCACCTGTAGAATTCTATGATCACTCAAATTTAACCCTGAGTATACTGTACCACAAAATATCTTGGAGTGGTCAAAACTGATTTGCGAGAATGTTACCCACCATCACAGGCCACAGCGGCAGCCCAAACGTCGCCAGTGGCGACCACTGTGCGCGCTTCCGCCATGCCCGAGGAGTCCGAGTTCATACGTACAGCGCGTCTACCACCGGAGCTGCCATTTGTGGGTGTCTCCGCGGCATCCACAAAGTCGTCACCGAAGCTCCGAGTGGTGCGGCGACGCCCACGGTGCTGCGACTGTGAGCGACCACCAGCGACAAGACTAAGCGGACCTGAGTTAAGGCCGCCATCAGTGAGGTCCTCACAGCCGCTCTGCGACTTCGACGATCGGTGCCCGATCGACCGTGGGGCGCGATGATGCAGTGCTGCCGCCTCCGAATGCCGTGGAGGGACCCACTGAGGTAGATTACCAGAAAAATCGATAGCCGTAGCGGTGGCTGGCGCGACGCGTTCCCAGGGTACCACCGACCGACCGTCGACGCCAGACTTTGTCTGACGCTGTTGGACCTTCACCCTCTCCGAGTCCTCTTTCGACTTGACGATAGGTACGGCCTCAGACACCGGTGGCTGGCCGTCAAGGTCGGTTATAGGTGGCTATATAGAAACGAATTTACTCTTTTTGAGACAGAATGTTGGAAAGCGTTGTCCGCTATTTCAATTTTCCCAATAATTTAATTCTCATAAATGAAATACCAAACCCCGAAATATACAAGATCCGTTTACTGAAAGCGTAATTACTACAACATTGTTGGCACATTGACAGAACATGCACATCGAAGAATATAGAATTAAGTATAGGGAATTAATGAACAAAAATCAGGGCTGTTGGGTGAGAAATAAGTTACATTACACACTCATGGAGTATATTTGCAGAATATCGACAAACAAAACGAATTTATAGCATGCACGATGGTGAAGTACTGGTGTTGAGGAATATTCCCGTAGTAGTGTTAACCGCCATCCTCACAGGTTTGGTAATAACCTGCACCACATAAAAAACGCTAGAATGAGAAAATCTTCCTTTGAGGAAGCCAACATAAGCGACTGGAACTAAAACTCCATTCACCCCCGAAATTTTTCGATAGCTGACAGGCTGTGATGAATGCGCGAGGCATGGTAACTTCGAGTTATTTATCTGGTAAAAAAGGACGCAGATCTCGTTGTTTAATTATGTGGGTCATGTTCTTTTCTACTGTTTCTCTGGATAAACAAAACAATTTCGGCCTGAATCGAACTGGGAAAACTGCACATAACACGCCTCACGGTCGAAGTTTCTAGCTTGCATTGGCCTTTTATCATTGGATGGTAATAAAAACCTATCACATCTACCGCCACCCCAGTTTCCGGGTGCAGGGTCGGCGAGATTGTAGTAGTCTGGCGTAAGATAAATCGGTTGCCACGCTTTCTGGTCGCGGTGTAGCGAAATAAGGGCTTTTGTAAGCGTATGCCAGGTATCACGGATTAGAGAATTGTGGCAGCGGTAACGTAGAAAATGTGGCGTTCACTAATAGTCGCCGCAGCTATTGTTAACGTCCGTACGGCCGACCAAACAGCCCCTTCAGAGATAGGTGGATAGTCATATGCGTGGATTTGTAAATAATGGGAGGAGTAATACGGTTACTCAAATCCGATGGGTCTACTAATAAGAGATTAGCATAGCAAATGTGACCGATCTGGAGCAGGCTCACTGTTGCAATGGGTCTGTTAAGCTTTTGGTTGAACGGAACCAATGAAACAATTAAAGCGCAATTAGACCTCTAGAAGAAAAGCTTCATCAACCAAGGAACGCCTCCGATCGGTCCATACACATGGGCAAGGCAGTACCATCGAAGAATTACGTGAAACAATGGAATGAACTTGAGTTAATCATACCGATAAAATTTAAACACTTTTTGTAAAAAGCCCTAACTATCCCAAAATAATGCGGGTGGAAAGAACAGGCATGAAGCGGAATCACAAGACAGAAGTGCGACATCCGGTATGCGTCTACACAACGATGAGATTAATGACGCAATCTTTTCGGCCTTTTTCTTATTCCAACATCAACTATAACCACTTTGAATCATCTAAAGACTATACTAACATAAACAAGCAGTTATTTATTACGGACACTGTTGAAAAGTAGTAGTTTTACCTATACGTAAAACAAGATTTTGTGGTCCTTTTATGTCTACACTTCCTGCAACAGAAATCCCTCGAATATTAATTAGAGGCAGTGAGAGGTTGAGAAGCCAGACAAATCTGCTTGAAATGTCTGTAGTTACTGACACAAAGTGGAAAGTCAGGAAAGGTAACTATTAACGTGAAACAGTTCCTGACCATATTTTCAGTCACAAAGTATGTGTAAGGCAGACCATAGTTTGATTTAACTATTAGGTAGATGCAACCAATCAAAGACACCCGAAATGTGGAAATAAGACATCAAATCATCCTTTTATTTCGGAGCGGCAGTATTGAAAGGTGGGCAGCGGGTCAGCGCGGGATCTTGAAATCCCGACCTAAAAACTAGGCATGAAAAGTAGACAAAAGCATTACTAGACTCTGTATGAAGTGACTTACCACTGTCAATCCACGACACTACCAATACAAAATAAACCATAAGTACCATTTAACACCTTTTCTTCGTAAGTGGCAAGACTATGCAGGAATGTTGAAGAGAATCTGAATCAAGTAGTTTTTTAAAATGCGTACTAAACTACGCAAATGAAATCTGATTCATTAGTAAGATATGAAGAGACACGTCAATCACAAATTTTTAGTCCAAATCTCCCCCCACAACAAGCTCATCCATAAAATCATAGGAAATTGTGATAAAGAGGAAAGGTCAAATCGGAACAGTTTTAGCAGAATAGTTGACGGCTTCGGAACAAGGCAAGGCCAAACGAATTGCATCAAATTAAAAATAACAGACAAACCTGGCATTGACACTAGTTTGGAAGGTGTGCTACAAAAGGATCCCGCAATATCAAACTTTAGCGACAAACCTCGTAAACACATTGCTGGACACAAAAATAAGACACCCTTTTAAGGTTTGAAACACGAATAAGTTTGCTAGAACGAGACGTACCGTTATGAAAACCCATATGAGGTCAGCACTCCAGTATCATATACAGCTTTACTCACCACCTGACAAAAAACTAGGTCAAAGGTTTCCTCAAACTCAGAGGACATTTTCCGACCAAATGCGCCGAAAACGCGGTGATAGATGAAAATGTGGTATTTTACAAATCTTCAAAAAAGTTGTTTGACAAACGTGGATTAGATTTTTTGAAAGCTTGATCAGCACTACAAAAAGACATTGGTTTATTTGAACATCAGTTGCAGCAAATTTCTTAAGGCTTTGAGTAAAACCAAATGCATTAATGGCGGGAATTGGAAGGCGATTGCTTAGCCTTAAGTCCACTCATCCGTGTACGCGCAAGAGATGTAATGTTATCGCCAGGAGCAACCTACGTCAATGGGAGCGGTGATCGAGGTTTTGGGGTCCCTTGGAGGGATGGCTGGGGGAGAAGGAGGTTGCTCTGTCGAGAGATCGGTTACAGGAGGTGGGGGAGGCAGATTGAGGAGGAAGCTTGCAACCGAGGTTCGTCCACCCCCATTGACGGTGATATTTTCCTGCGGTGATGATGTCGGCGAAAGTGGAAGTAGCGTGATTGCATCACCGGGATCCACTTTAGTCACTTTCTGGTCATCATCCATCTCGAATGAGCGACAGTGCTCATGATAACGCCCCGGCTGACTGTCCACCGGCTCGTTGGCATGCAGTGAGAGATGAAGCGGTGTAGGGGGTGGAGGTGGAAACCAATTGGAGTTGTTGAGGGGCGTTGGAGTTGCTACACCATCGGCCGGATCGGTTTCGGCAGGAAGAGCATAATCACCTTTGCCAGCAGGTACTGCTTTAGGGTTTGTGTTCTAAAGTAGGCATAAATCGTCATTAACCAGTGCAGTTCGTTATTACATCGAATTTTGGAGTCAAAGTAGCCACTTTGATAGGCTTCTCTAAACTAAAATACCTCTAAGTGTCCAATTTTATTTGATATAGATTCAGTGTCAAAGCGTAACTAGCTAAGTAGATGAAAAGAAACTGATTTTATGCGATTTTGTGACTGGACCAACGTATTTATAGTTTTGAATCGGCTGTAAGGGTAGAGTGGATTAGCGAAAGGTTATTTTAGTATTCACGACCCGCAAGCCGACACAAAATATAAATGTCAATAGTGGCGCGTCAAAGATGAAATATTTCCGAAATATAAGGTCACCGAAGTAAGGAGCTGGAAATGCTTTTGACGAAGTGGGAAGATTTTATAAACGCGAATTAAATATGCGGCCAAAAATGAGTCCCATTTCAAGAGAGGACGATCTTACCTATGAATAGGCCAGAAATTTGCACTTTATGGCTTTTAGTTATTTTAATATCTATAGAAAACCATGCTATGTGAATACGAGGAATGGTTATGACAATAACATAAATTGTCTTTTGTATGTAATTTCGTTTGGAGGACTATCATAGCTTTTGAGCTGAAAATAAGGCTTGCAGATGACAAAAAAATATTAAGTTATGCGTAGTTAAATTTAAAGAAAACCCAACCGTTTGCATGAATCCTTGAAAAAGTAGTGAATTATTAATCCGTCCCAACTCGTCAAGTAGCTAGCACGAAAACGGTTCCAAAACAAATTTCCTCTCCACGTATGCCGAAAACCGGGGTTACCTATTTATTTCAACAGGTTCTAGCACATTGAGCTCGGAGTTGGATTTTGTGACACCTAACATTAGCGTTCAAGCTCAATTTTCCCAACATTCCGACATCATCACAAGTGTATGTTGGTATCAAGTTTACCCGCTGCTGAGAAGAGTCATAGGTTATCTCTTTAGCTAGTTCACTAATTTCAAAAGTAAAAATGATTAGTACACAATACAAACGCAGCGAATCCCACTTGGTGAATTTGGCAGACTAATACGCAACTAGATTGCCATCTGCATGAGGCAGTGCAAATCAAAGGGCTTTGGTCATCTGGAACGAGTAAGCTGTTCATGATGCAGTCAAGTACATGGAGAAAAATTTGTAATCAAAAGCTCTTCTTCCGATCACATCAAATTACCTATCAAACTAACATGAAGTACCAATACAACACTATCTAAGAAGGGCAACGTGTCTGTCTTCCGTTGTCTTCAGCTTGAATTCCACTAACGGCTATAATAAATCCTTCTCAAGGCCGAATAGCAGACATCCCATTATTTTGTTTATCTTATTGTGCTTGGGCTTGAATCAACACACTTTAGGAATTTTTATGTATATTCTTATCCACAATAGTGATCAAACGGGTGGAGAGTAATCAGCCAAGAGTTGAAAGAAAGTCATACAAAAGTATACCAATCAAAAAGTAAACACTTCCTATTGGTGTAGCCAAAAATAAAATTCCCGAGACGTGGTCATTAAAATCTTTCAAGCAGCGCTGGATACGGCACTCCATAATGTACTCAAAGCCGTAATTGAAACTATAGCTACCAAGCCACTGTCAAGCCCTTTGTCAACATGGCAACGTAAACGCCCAGTTCATAAAAAAACCAGAAGGAGGGTGATTGTTAACGCAGAACCGGTAAACCAATGCGTCGTGGCTGAATAGCACCACTGAATTGTGTAAAAATGGGGCCTACCGACTGATTGGCTGATTGTACTGCAGACGACGTGAACGTTGAGATGGTGGCATTGGCGGGGGCGGTGGATGTGGTCACTACCTTAGCAACATTAGAATCCGAGATGGTGCTGGAATTGAGTGCCACGACTTTGGCGGAAGAGGGGGCGGAGGTAAGCGAGCAAATGCTCTCACATGTGGCTGCACCATCCGGAGGTCCTCGGCCGCCTTGTTGGCGCTGTTGCTGCTGCTGTGTCGACGCGGAGGTTTGAAGGCCAAAACGCGCCAGACGGATATCCCACGCGTCGTCGTAGGAGGGTCCGCTACGCCTTGACGAGGTCAATTTCTGGCCGACTTTCTCGAGGGCGGCAGAATTCTGCGTCGTGGCTGGAACGATGCATACAAACAACTTTTGGACTAGATGACGACACCCACTTTTATCACATAGCACGCGTTTATGCAGTTTGATATTCAGGACATTAGTGAAGCGATTTTAAAATCCCATGGGACTTATTTAAGACTTTGAACTGGTGATAGCACCGTCATAAAGGTAGATGCTTCTTAGAAGTGAAAAAAATAAATCAATTTTTGATGGCCAAAGCTAGCGTCGTGAAAGTTGTAGCAGATTGGCCCTGCACGTCAGGCCTATTTAGTGTATGAAGAGAATCGAATACAAAGGTGAAGCATCTGCTGATTGCTTGCATAATTAGAGCCGAGTTTTGGAAGATGGGACAAGGAAAAACATATGGCTCATTCATATTTCCTACAAAGTCAAAAGCCGAGGACAGGCTTATACGATTTGAAGTTGCCAGGTGTGTGCACAGTTGGTCACTGTCTCAGAACTTTGACGTGGGAAGAAAGGCAGAATACGAAGGAGAAGGCTCAATAGCTGATGAAATGTGGCGCTTGAAATTACGATACCTTGAAAGAACTGAGCCTAAAACATCAGCAAAGTTGCAGAACTTAATGGAGCGAGAACGCCCAAGTCCAAATACATGTGTTATAGGATAAGATTTGAAGATTATCTCGCTATTTCGACGTCTGACAAATATGAGTTGACAGGACACCTTTGTTAAAGTACCTGTTTGCAATTCAAACGATACAAAGTTCCCGAACCAACGAAAGGATACACCTAAACTGCGCATGAAGTCGGTCTAATCAGCAATGCAAGTAGTCATGTCACCTCAGAATCACAAAAGGCAATCGCAAATGTGCAGGTTGTTCACACGAAGTCTGGAATGCAGTTGAAGATTTGTCTTTTTTTATTTGTACATGAGAAATAACCACCCCATGAGAGCCAGCCACGGCTGCAGACCATCACACATCAAGTGGGTCAGGGAACTATCCTTGGTCTGGTTCCCAAAACATATACTGAAGTGGTGAAAAAGTACGCTGGTGTGGTGGGTAGAATATCTTTTACTTACTTGAAGTTTTTTTCAAACATTCCAGCAGCACGGTACTATATGGGTTACCCAAAAGTACGCAAAGGGGTCAGGATATCATACAGGCTAGACAAATGGAAGGAAACGCTGTCTGCAAAGGTGTATTCAGAAATAAGATTAATAAAATTTAGGTACCCAATGGGATCGTGGTACGGAACATGGGTGACGAACGGCTTCGCCGAGTTATGATAAGGGTAGTTTTCCAACAATTTGATCTGGTATTGGCTGCTACAAGAGGCTGGTGAAAGGAGATGCATGAATAGGCACAGAAGCAAAGCAGTAACTCGGTATCAATTAGTACAGTGAGGTACCTAATGAGAGGAAAGGCAATGGACGCCTGTATGATAGAGGGACAAGAGAGAACCAAGGCTTGAGCCGGCGGTACCAACCGCGTGAGTAGGGCATGCATGTTAATGCACACATTACCTCATACTGACTAAGGATGGCCGTGAGTCAGACCCATCCTGACCGCTTCCTGAAGAGTGCCAGATTTTGGCATTTCCAGGTCTTACAATAACATTAGACTGTCTTTTTTTCTATCGTTTCGCTTACACTTGATGACTGGGTCATTTCACATCCGTCAGTTCAGTCACACAGAAGAGGCAATTGGTTGGAGTAACAATCCAGCCTAACAGGCGCACACGCACACAAAATGAAAGTAGACTACAGCACTATTAATCAAATGCAAACGTTTTTAATCACACTGAAATGAATGAGACACTTAAAATTACAAGCTGATGAAGAATGGACACGAGGGAGAGTGGATCTAGAAGGAATTATTAGGATGAATGGCCCTGGGCACGCAGAGGTCTTCTCGTGCATAACAGTAATTCCTAGCCACATGTAGCATGGATTAGTGCATGCAATCATCGAACTGGAGGAAAGTTATGGCCAAAGCTGTTACAGTCTCATGAAGAATTTGCTTTGCAAAAGGCAATGGTTTATGAAAACGAACAGTAAAAACACGTACATGGTTGGAGTACCAGAATCATGACCAAATTTGCATTTAGGGCAAGATCGTGAGGGAATAAACAAAAAACTCGATCAAAGGCAAGAGAGCATAATTTTGGCGTATGTGCGATAGAAAAGGAGAAGCTCATTTCAATGCTCCTAAACAGGATCCAATGGACAGAAAAGGAGTGTAAGAAAAAGAACCCAAACAGGCCTGCGACGACCGAGCACCCAGTAGGAGGTCAACGGCGCGGTCCCACACGAGGAGTGGGACGGTCATGCTGAGAAAAATTTCGACTACTGAAGTGAACAAACCTCCGGAAAATCCTAATTCCAAGCAGACATTGGCCTTTTACAAGATCAACCTTGCCAATTGCCCGCATCGATTCGGTCAGTCCTACTGTATAGTTTTACCCATATTTGGATTTGCGCTAGATATAAGGGTATTGGAGATGAAAGCAGAATAAGATGAGCAATAAAACGATAGAAGAGCCTTTGTTACGAGGTAGAAGCCGATTACATGCTATGCAAACATCCACTTCAACCAATAACAAAAACGACTTTTTACAATTGAGAAATAAGGGGTTTTTGAATTTCCAACAGACCTATGCGAAATACAAGGAACGATTTGGTAACAGGGGCACTGCCAATTAAGCTCATACCTAGGATATTTCCGGCGTAGTACTGATGAACTACAAAATAGCCTTGACGAAACACTTACTTAAATACTAAAAACATAAAGGTCAGATAAACGAGAAACAGTCTGACCAAATATTAGTAATGCACAACAGTAACCGTAGGGTAGTGCCATTTCCTCAACCCCAAATACAATATGGGAAACATGAATGGGTCTCTTAAGAACGTTACTTTATGACTTCATTCATCACAAAATAGCAGTGACGTTGGCACTTTTCTTTCTAAAACACTAGACAAAACAAATAGACACTTTTTCCTGAAATAAAAAGAAAACGAAAACACCACAATTGTAATTACTAGACCAGACTCGCCAAAGTGTATTAACACTAAGCAGCCAAAATTTTTAGGACAAAATTTGCATTTTTACAAATGAATTGAAGTGAACCGTTGTCAGTACTACAGACTTTAAAAGTGAAAGGAAATAAGGTGATATTTCAAAATCAAACTTACTACGGAATAATAAATCAAATATTTAGAACGCCTGATAATGAAACCATACTTCCAGTATGCGAATTTGCCAGTTGAGGAAGTAGCGATAACGCTGTTTTACGCCTTCGTTGAAAAGAATGATTTTACTATTCATTAAATTTATAAAAGCGTTGGCAGGATAGATTTAAAACAACAATTCAAAAGAAATTTAAGACGACCACATAATCGACTGTTTCCTAATTCATCTTCACAGCACAGTATCTAAGTGCGACGAAATTCCTTCCAAAAAGAAACCACTAAGTAATATCCTCATAGTACTGTCATAGGTTTACCAAAGTGCGTTTGTAAAACCTCTTTCAGAAATATTGCACTCCTTAGCTCACGTAAAGGGAGCAGAATTGTTACACAAGGAAAGCAAGGAAAGTGTGCACCACGAATTATACTTCCCTTATGCTATAGCTCATTTATGGACACCCACTGGATGGAATAGGCAGCTACCAAAAAAGGGCAAAGAGATCACCAAAGGGACCCCTAGGAAAGAGTGTAGATTGCAATTCTACTAAATGTGGTGGGTGTTGCAACACGTCTCAACCTCTACTTCCCTGAAGGCAGGGGACTCTTAAAACGACATGCTCGCTACCCGGGAAGGAAATCAGTAAAAGATTGTATATGTTTGCAAAATAAAAGCGTCATAATGCCTAGGCATGCAAAAGTAAGCTCAAGGGAGAACTAAATAATCTCATTGCCTTGAAAACTGAATCCATTGTGGAAGAGGAAGGAGACACCTACGAGGAATGCGTTGGTGTAAGGGGAATCAACCCTATTAGACATTAAACGCCGCCAAATGTCCCTACTTTGGCGCGGAAAACGTCCACGACCCGTTTTCAGAAAGATAAGTGCTTTCTTGTAACAACGCGTGGCAGATTTTGCCTAGTGAATTGAAGGTGATAAAAAGTGCTTCTTTCTGTTGGAGCCTTTTTAGATATCCCATTTGGGCAAAAGTTAATGGTTAAAATAAGCCATAAACAGAGGCGAAAGATGATGTTTGTACCCTTTTCCACCACTTATTGCAAATTATTCTAGTTCACCCGGCATGATTAACATGTTTTACTACAAGCATGCACACAAAGCGCCCGAACTCCCGCTTCAAAAGTACACGCATGAAAATTCACATAAAGGCGGTCGAACAAACAAACACAAGTATTGTACGCTGAAAATCATAAAACGCCGCATACAGTTACGTCTCGGATATTAGACAGGACAGGAAAAAGATATCCACATTCCCAACTCAACGAAATGCCAGTAAATAGTTTATCCAAATACCACGAGAAAACCCGCAACACTGATGCATCAAAGCACTTTGGAAAAATGGATTCGCTGAACCCATTTATGAAAAGCGAATCGTACAATCATATCATCATCACGTGATTAATGACATCAAGCTACCACCTAAGATGTAGAAAAGCAGGTCGTCCACTTGCAAAAAACAAGTTGGGAATCAGACGGCAAAAAAGACTGGTTTTGAAGATATAAGGTCACAAATTAAACCAGATTTGATAGTTTACCTATCAAGCGGACGTGTGTGTGCATTGAAGAGTCCATAAACGCTTTCAATCGCGTTTTACGGAACCTTAATTTCGCGACAGTGGGCGGGGAAAATTAAACATGCATTTAAGAAGGTATACACACAGGGGCCTGAAAACAGGCAGCAATAATGGTGAGTGTGTCCATTTGCAATAACCATTACGTGTCTAAAGTGCTTTCGCACACCGACTTGCCCCACGAATGGTATTGTACCTACACATCCATTAACCTATTGGGTTTGCCTTTCCGTTGAGGTGCCCCCACACCTCAGTAGAAGCAAATACTTTACGGACGTCGTCCAAGTCTCAAATCAAACGTGGCTGAAGCAGGAACGCAGATGATAATTTCAAGTAAGTGCAAAGTGAACGTAATCCAAAAATCACATAATATAAAGGGAATCCGCCCAGATACTTTTGAAAACAAGCAAACTAAAACCTAGACTCTCTACCTTGTCGTGTGGAATCCGATCAACTTTGATGTGAGTGATATACATCTGATGCAAGAGTAAACAATGGAAACAAGTAAGGAGGAGACAACTATTAGTCCACATGGGATATGCTGCGCGTTGGAAAGTGGATGAATTGAAAATGATGCAAAGAATTTGCCTTTGGTGTAGCCATGAGGAATTTAATCTGACAAAATTCACCTTGCACTATGAACAGTAACAGATATTGATGTTATAGCTAGGAAAGTGAGTAGGAACTTAGGGTTATCTGGGATCCTCTTTAGGTGCACACTAATTTTAAAAGTGAAAACGTTTATAGGGGACTGTACAACTCGTAAGTGTTCAGCTCCACCTCACTGCGGTACAATTCCCAACTATCTAATAAGTACTTCGTAGTTCTCGAGACACTGGTGCGTACTTTGCCACCTTCTTCGGAGATTAAAATATGTAAATGCATAACTCTTGAAAGGATAGATTTAAATATCAACAGTAAATTATGACTAAGGGCAGGAATACCATAAGTTGAAGTCATATGAAGACCAGCGTTATAGCCGGGGAATATTTCCAAAAGCTACCTTTGATGATTCTCGCAGGTGGAGGGGGTGGGTTCTTCGCCACCTTCATTTTGCGCGATTCGAAGAAGCGGGTGACATTGCTGGCGAAATCTGATTTTGAGGGCTTAGTGGGAGCTCCATCGGTCAGGTCTCTGAGCGGTCCCCCAACGGCATTGTTTTGCGCGGTGCTGTGAAAGTTAAGTACCACCATAGTTACAAATCGACATTTTTTAGTGTGCTTGAAGTAAGTGCCAGAAGACAAACAAAGAATAAGCAGAATTAGCAAAAATTAAACTTGAAACAGTTTGTGAACACAACTGCCGTAGTGCCATTGACAGCTCACTCTGAATGAGTGACGAAAATTATCTAGAAAAAAGTTAAAACGTCAAGCTTTGAGACGGGGTTGTGGTGTATGACAATGAACGATTTATGAGCCGCACAAACCGTATTCAATAAATACGGAGGGCTCATCGAAAAAGACTACTGACACACGTGTTTGCTGCTTCGGATTTTAGGTAACTGACTCGAATACTTAGAGGATTGTAGAGACCTAGAAAAACAGACCTTACGGCAAGTCGTGAGGAAGACTTTATAGCAGAAACATTAAACCAAAACAAGTGTTACACAGTCTCCCGCTTTCTAAAAAAGCACATGCTCCACAATACATTCACAAAAGGAATATTTTGCTCGAGATGTAAATGAGGGGTTTTTGAAAGGAGCCAAAGTGAGACCGGAAATGTTCCCAAATAGTCTGAAGGGTATTTCATGTTAGACTACTCCCTGACATTGTTAAAAAGTGCTCGTTAAGTGGACATTCGGTGCCAAAGCTATGACTAACTTTACCACTTAAATGCACCAACTTCCTTACATTTTTTGGGTGTTTCCTAATCGTCCGTGTCATTCCCTGGAAGCACGAAGCCAAGATTTATTTAGATAACGCTGTTAAGGCGGAGGCGAAACAGACGCATAGTAGATTTAAAAACGTCAAAAACGGCTACAAAATGTACTTCGTAAGTGATTATGCATAGCTATGGTTCGGTTATCTGCACCGGATACAAGTCGACTACTTCAGAATATACCCCTTTAGAGGTTAAAATATCGCAGAATAGTGGCGTGTTTGGAGGAGGAAGGGGAAATAATCCCTATCTTCCAAAGCACATTACATTCTTCTATTTCTGTAAAACTGGGCAGTAGATGCGCTTGGATAACTCAAGAGATGTCGCGTACAACTATGTTCCACCTCTCAACTGTGTCACCGAATGCTCTTACCGATATCCAAGGTACTAGATGGTCCTGAGTAAGGTCAGTTAGCTTATTTTTTTAACCCATCAAATCCGACATCAACCATCAGAGGAAAATAAACACTAAAGTGTCAAAGCTAAATGGGAGCGATAAAGCTGAAGCCGTCGCTAAATAGCAAAATTTGGCGGCGACAAAAACACGGATAATCACATTAAATGATAAACAAAAATGGCTTCAACCTCAAAATTCAGTGATAAGATTAGAGACACCTCAGCTGTAACTGAGCATTAAACCGAATCACTGATACTATGCTTAATTGGGGTAACAACTGGACAAAAGCAACCACATCTCCAGGCTGCGGATGCTAAGGTCACATCTGTGCACGGGGTTTCGATGTGGCTAGGCTACAGTAGTCTCATCAAGAGTGTAGGCATATTGATAGATTTGAGGGGAAGGGACAGTAGCGACCGAGGCCATATCAATGAGAGGGTCACCATGTCTGAGCTTAGGTAACGTCGCGGGGGCTCCTGTTCGCACTACATGATGCTCAGCTTGACATTAACATAATTATTTGCAGGATTAATGGGTTCTAAAACGCAAAATCTTGGAATCTGTTGAATGAAGTTCTTTGGCCCTGCAACCTTTTAAATATAAGTACAAAACCATTTGTAGCATCAAAATGGTATCAAAGCACTCTTTTTTTAAACATTAAAATCCGGATACGGACACCTTTTACGAAATTGAACTGTCGATTCAAATAGTAAATGAAGAGTCAGAGAAAGTATAACACTCAATAGGGCGGAAAAGGTATAGCGGAGACTTTTCTGTTTCACATTTATGGGCGGCCGAACTGACCGCTCCCACAAAAATGCCGTTCTACGAAGCATGCCAATTACCGTAGCCTTAAGTAAAATGACCCGTTGGCTGAGCGGCTCAAAAAATCGCAGGAAACGATCAGCGAAGCATCAAGTGGAGTTCCAGATCATTTGGGCACGGTACGCGCGTTTCTCGGCGTTCTACAAAGCCCATTTTTCCAGGGGCGTATCAGGTGCCCTAGAAACGGATGTCTTGATTCCGACAAAATCTGTACATCAGGGTGAGAATGATTCACTTCCCTGACAAGTGAAGTTTCACCTTTGAAACGAGGCGCGTAACGGCATTGGGGCGCACCCTACTGCTGTAACCACTTTGGGGCAGCCCGTACACGGACAACATAGGTTTGAGCTCGAAGGGTGCCTTGAATGGTAAAGGTTCGCACTAATGAACTTTCCGAAAACAACATTACAAAAGTAAAAAATGAATTTGTGGAAACTCCCAGTAAAATACTCTGGGAAAGCAGCCGATAATTAGTTTAGATCCTTGAAAGTCATATATTCGCCGCATAATTCATATGTAAATTGTTAAGCAGACATCGTGCGTTATCAAACGTCTGGTTTGCTTAATATACCTTCAAACTGGCACTACACCATCGAGGATGCTGATAGACTAAAGCCTATATAGTATGCGCCATCAAAATATGCTAACCTGACTTCAGTCAGGTCAGCAGAATTTTAAGAATACACCGTGCACTAACTTACGAGACTAATGAATGGACTTTTGAGCATTAATAAAGGAATATGAAGTGGCATTGCTCAATGCTTTTCTACAAGACGCACATCACTCTTCGGGTACACCAAAAATCCAAAATCGTAAGGGAAACATGTGCCTATCGAGGCCTGACGGAATTGTCGAATCTGAAGGTGTCGATGAATCACCGGAAGCCAGCTGTCGGAACGCATGAGAAAGTGTAAATGAGGAACTGAAACCCGTTGCTAGAGCGAAGAAGGAGCTCTGGTTGTTTATGTTGTATGTCCGGTTTGGTACCACAGAAATTGCAGATGAGTCACACCACCTACTTTTCCTAATTTGATCACCAAACTTTGGCAATCCTTCAGACGAAAATTTGACCCAAAAATCTGAGTCGAAAACCGCTCCACCAAATCATTAACTGTATAACCGTGAAGCAATATGAATGCAAATGACAGAAGACTATAATGCAATAATTGAACAATGATGGATTTATTGAAGTGAATTTGAGGGAAGCAGGAGTTACTAAGACTACGCGACGGATAGATTGAGTGAATTTTGAAACAATCGTTGAGTGCAGTCAGTGCAAAAGGTTAAAAGTATCCAAAATCGACGATCTGCAAAACCAAAACGATTCGTTATATTCAGTGGTCAGTAATGCCCAGCTCCAGTCTAGTAGTAGTTTAATAGGCAAAAATCGCAGCTTTAAATCACCGAAATGCAAGCACTTATCCGATTGAGTGATATTGGCCTATATCTGTGATGACATTCAGGTTAGAAGCGGTCAACAATATCGAATGAAATGCAGCGTTTAAAATGTACCTGCTTTACTGAAATGATGAGTTTAACAAGCAGTGGCTTCTGAGCATGTTTTTTTATGGGTGAAGTTAACCCTATACACGAGTTAAAACCACCATGAGTTCTTCGAACTGTTCCACAATCGACAATTTTGAGTTCACGGAACTTTTAAGACGGGGATTGCATTGAAAAGGTTATAGCCGAGCTGACACAATCATCAACAAAGCACTATCGAGGCTCAAGAAACCAACAGGGCAACTAGTTTAGTACAAGTAATGATGAACATTTAGACAGGAAAAAGCAATGTTGGATACATTACCAGATGACCAAATTGTAAAATACTCCTAGCTTTCGAGGTTACTAGAGATGGTTCAACTTTATTTACACAACTCGTCCACAAAACAACTCTTTTAGATGGCTCTCTGCTACAAAACGTGGTGATAGGTACCGTAAGACACGTAAGAGACTGAAGGGCAGGATAACGCCCCACTAGGCTGAAGTGTCCGCCGTTCGTAAATAAAACAACCACCCGAAACAATCCACATGATTAAAAGTGTGCATGGTGCGAGGGGTCTAAATTTTTTTAGTACATGGATAAAAATCGAACAAAGCCAAACTACAAAAAGCAACCGTCGGAAATACTGCCGTTTCAAAATCTATAAATCCAAAAAAGGTGGGACAACCCGAATCTCACACATTCGTCATGAAGAGTCATCGTAGACATTACTTGCACGAAGTGCAGACCTCTATTTGCGCTGGATAAGTTGTCGATGTAAGAAATGGCAGCATTGGTTTAGGGGGAATCTGAGATATTTACCCAGATGATTATACAGTTCCACTTTTACTATCTTAAGAACGCAATCGCTTGTTTAAGAGCGGAAACGTTTAAAAACTACTAATACAGCGTTAGGTTCTGAGTTGAGCTATTAATTCAAACCAGCAAGACTAAAGGTCACTCAGTAGATGAGTCACAGATTTTTGTTAAAAATTGGAACGGAGAACATGAGAACTGAAAAGTGGACTTCATTTGGTGGGGTAGCGATATGCACGTTAACAGGAACCTTGCAAATGTATGGTGTTGCAGTGGGGATAAGCTCAGTCAAGTGCCAGTTACCAAATGCACGTTACGAGGCAGTTAAATATTCAAACTGCGAACAAGAAAGCGTTCACAAGAAAAGGGAAGCTAAGGCGGTGAAAACGCTAAGGCACTGAGTGATAGGTGTAAAGCAGCCAAAATCAGACAGAATTACATCAAATACTCGTTAACATGACCATTCCTTGTCTTCATACTAGATGAAGAAACTATTTAACAAAGGAAGATACATTGTGGTTATACGATGCCCAACACCGCTCACCAAAACGCGAGACAACACAAAACAGCACATATTTAATGCTTAAAACGTACTTTATTACAAGACAAGATTAAAAGCATCTCAACTAGCAAATCAATCCTTAATTAGGAATGTTGATTGTCATTATTACGTCGGAATCTTTAAAGTTGAAGTGGGTTTCAACTTACCAACTTTACAATAATTGAGCTTAATTAAGACGTCTCACACAATATCTACTCCTGAGCAGAAAAAACACCCACAAAATACCCAATTGTCGTGAGCCAACAACCATTTTTGGAAGAGTACATCAACACAAAAATCGTAAGGAAATTTAGCTCCACAGCTATGAAATAACCCAAAACACAAGCATGATTCGTTACCATAGCTTCAATAAAAACGATTTAGTAGCCATCCGGGTCCAAAGAGCAACCAAGGACAGCGCGGAGCGTAATGACAGAATCTCATTGCAAAAGCGTACAGGGATTCCAGAAAAAATGTAAAGCTGAGGAACTTACATGGGTGTTGATGCCATATTTTCGAAGAAAATTAGGATGTGTATCCACCACAAGTCACTAGAAAGGCAAATATAAAAACCGGTGATGTCAAAACAGCTATTTTCAAACGGCAACAAATTAACTCCCTACAATAGCACTATAACCATGAGATTAAAATCATCATCTCATCTGCAGTAAATTGAGCCTCCAATTTCCAGGGCCAACTTTTACACATGACGTGCAACTAGAAGGGAGGGGGGAGCGGGAAAGAGTTGAATTATGGATAGTTGATAGAGCCCAGGAACACAGACCTAACTTTTGCTATGTAAGCGATTCAACAAAATAAATCCACAAAAGGCAACACAAAGAAGCAAGCCAGTATTTCGAACGGGAGCGGATTCTTAGGGTTGAAAATAATCGATCCCATAAGAAAGGAATAGAGAAAGCACCAGACGAACCAGACAGAAAAAAATACTTCATTAAAAAGTTCAAAGCAGAACAACTAATAACAAAACTGGGAAGGCGATGAACACCCCCTAGTTACTCAGCAGATGCCCAAACAGCCGCACTCTAGCGTCCACTCCTAGTAGCACAAACTGCGCGGAAAGCAAGGTCATAATTTTATTTGACTTAACCAAACAAATCTCATGCTAATGTATACAGACAGATACTATTAAGCAATGCCCTTAAAGTTTGCTCAAATAAATTTCAAGGCGTTATTTTTGCTATTAGTGCGCAACTAATACAGCCGTCGTTACTCGCTACATGAGATGTACCAATTCAACCCACGTGGCCAGCAATGAAAAATCTTGCTCATTAATTCCTGACCTTGCACATGATCACATACTAAGATACAAAAAATTACACACTATGTGAGTTCATGCCATTTGGAGGTTGGGTAGTTTTGAGAACAGACTGCATGAATATTTGCACGTTCGAAATTTGGGACACCTACACGTAATTTTTAAGTTAAAGCATTCAGCAGCAAAAGCAAACATTTGTAAAGGTGCATATTTTACCAAAAGTAATTTAAACACCTGCTATTTGCTGGATTTCCTTTTGGGTTACTCGGAACATTCACTGGAAGCCGCGACTCTCAATGCATCTCTGCCCTATTTCAAGCTCTGCAATGTTTGCCTAAATGCGATTACATGACACCAACTGCTTACCATTTTGTTTCCAATGCCCTCGTCAAATGCTCTTCTGGTCAGATGAAAGCTGCTACTATGGCCGACTCTGCTGTGTAATAGTCCGCATCGCCCTCCGTCGTCTTGCTCGGGATCCGTTTGCCGTTGTACTGGTAGTTAGTATTACGCTTTGCCTTTTTAGTGAAATTTTCATTGGTATTCTCAGTAATGGTGAAGTTGAAACCATCTTGCACGCATCCCACTGTGACAAGAAGGATACTGTTGGTATCGACAGGTTGAAAGTTGCCTGCATGAACATCTCTTCCCTTACCCTCCCCGTGTTGCGCCCCACTAATCTACGCGTAGTTCACGAGACCAGAAAACTTCTGTATTAGCAAATGCACACTAATCTGGTCCCAGGCCACAACAACAATCATACTACTTGCCCTTATCAAGCGTTTTATAGGGCCTACAATTCCATTGCGAGTTTCGTCTCATGGTGCATACATTCATTGAGGGTTCCAAGAAGAGGAAGGGAATACTCTGCATCGCATTACCTAATCTTCTGTTTGGACTCAAGAACGCTTATCGTTTGTACGGGTAGAGCAACATTATCACACGTACAGTTTAGGCTTGCCATCAGTCATGTCATCGTCATCCAATCTTGATAAAGAGTTTATTTATCTTGTGAACTAAAATTTGTACAAAATACGCTTTTAATATAGGCGGTGAAGGTCGTAGAGTAAGAATGTATTAACTCATTCATTGGCATGAAACTAAGTAAAAGTACTTGTTAAAATATTTGTCAAAAGTGAGCAAAATTGTTGCAAATTTTTGCCCACTGTTAAAACTCTCACAGTTTAAGCGCTTGATTAGTGAAGCGGCACTGCTAGCACCACTCCCACCGTCATGGCTAATACCAAATCCACTAATGCCGTACACAACTGGGAAATTCACATCTGTTCTCCAACTTTACTACTCCACCCCCTCCTCTTTTTCCATTGGTCCCGCAGTTGTGTCGCATGGCAAGATTCTATTGTGTCCAAGTTTACGTACACACGTACATCCACCTTGGCAAAAAGACTACAGCCCCAAAGACCCAAAACATGGAACGGAGCCTGCAAGAGGCAAGGGAATCCGAACTGACATCCTCCAATACAAAGGGACTCATCATAGGCGGAAGTGTTGTTGGTGGAAGTATCGTCCTCGTGGTACTGATCATCTGCTGTTGCTGCAGTGTTCGATCGCAGAAGTCCAGCAATGCAAAGGTAGTGCAACCTGTAAAGAAGCAGACTGGCGATGGAAGAGAGCTGAACGTAGTGGAGGAGTCAGTTAGTAAGGAGGTGGATGATGGAGCAAAAAAGGATGGTGGGAGCCATGATGATGAAGCCGACTCAGAGTTACACGCAAAGAAGGTTCGGTTCTCCTGTGAAGCTGAAAAGGAGGCGCCAGCTGACAGCTCCGCATTAATGGAGACCACACCTGTTGCAAAACTAGCTGCAAGTTTGCCCTCCTATGCCAAGATTCGAGGGGGCAAAACCTCTCCATTTTACTCAAACGCAGAACCATAGCGAGTAAATATGTCCCCACATTCAAACAAATGATATTTTTCATACCATGTTTTACTCCAATGTTCAAGTTTATGAGTATTTACCATAGCATAACATCATGACCTTACCGACTTCATTGTTAATAAACGCATTATTTAATCTAAAAAAGAAGTTTGTTCTTTCAAGTCTATAGTCAACGCAGCGAGTTTCACTTATGCTTTGACCGATATTGTTCCCGACTGAGCATTTGATTGTTGTGTGATCGTTATAACTGCTCCACTAAAACGTGGGTGAATATTTTTTGAGTTGATGCCATTTCTCTCGCATCAGGGTGATTGGTGCTGCTCGCAGAGAAAACAAATTTTATTTCAGATATAAATGGATCATTGATAGAGGCGGTCTTCCTGGAGCCTCCGTCATTTAACCAAGCCAAAAAGGAAAATTTGATAGGATTTTCGAAGAATTTACTTTAATATGCATGTAAAGCATTTTAAATGACCGCACTGAGTGAGAAAATTCGAAATCGCAGGCCTCATGCTAAAATAGAAGTGGCTTCGACGACTTATGTTTTTAGCGAGATAGTTTTCTTATCATACGCGGAAACCGCAAAATACAAAGGTTTATAAATTTCAGGTCTAATATATGCGAGACATAGTATAGTATTTTACTTGGCATTAAGCAGTAAGTCAGCCATTTAAAAGTACACTTTTCTTTTTACTGATGCTAGCTAGGCAGCCTGCCTCCGGGCCATGCCAGTAGCCCCAAAACCTACTATACCTCGGAATGACATTCCGCTCGAGCATTATGTCTTGTTTCGTCCCGGAGGGCTACACCATAAGCATCCATCCAGTGGGAATTGTGGCTGTACGCCAAGTTAGAATAAAGTGAAAAGGCAGCCTGCCACTAGTAACGTGAGATAGGTATTAATTTCCTAATATCTCTTCAACTATTTCAAAAAATCGAATAATAAGTAAATGGTCCAAATAAATCTGCATTGTAGATAAAAGATGTTTTGGTCATGATTGTAATTTTGCGGTCGGTGGGGATATTCCTGGTGGATATCTACTTTAGGTAGAATGGATTTAAAGAATAAAGGCACATGATGAGATGACTTAAGCTTCAATTTGTTCCAGAAGCCCAGAGCTTGTTGGTCATTGTTTGGCAACATCTTCCACTAATAAAGTATGTATGGCGCCTTACAACTTCCCTGAAGGTGAGAGGAGACATAATACTCGGGCAGAATGTGCATTGTCGACCTACACGAGGTCCTGGGGACTACCGGCATGGCCTGGAGACCAAACCGCCTGGCGGATGCACAGTGGAAGGGTCCCTAAGTAGCCCTTTGCCAAAACCGAGAATTTGACAAACGACAAAAGTATTGCATAAGAACTAATTGCAATTAATATATAGACGAAATGAAGTGATTTAATACCAATTTTACCACTTTTTGGTTACGGCCCTCGAGCAAATTTGTTTCAAGCGATTTTAACTATCTAACTAAACTAAGATGTCTATAGGTAAACGGATGCATTCTAAGTGAAAATAAAGTAGTATTTTTGAAATTACTTATGTTTTTTTTTGATGTCCAGCTGTCACTTTGCTAAAAGAAAAATGATTTTTCGAAATCTCAAAATCGTACTTACTCTCGATAGACCAAGGATGCTGAGCAAATGCAGATTGAGAAAAGTTAGATTTTAAGGTGAAATGATTCTAGTCTACACAAGCCGTGTAAGAGGGTGTTCCAAATGCAATTTTGAGTATTACGTAACCGAATGTAGGGTGTAAAAAGCCCCACTACAGCCATAATGAGCAACTTTAAGAAGCAACTTTATGAAACATTGAAGTATGATTCAACGATAACAGTAGTCTCGTTTCTGTACTGACAAAGGAGACCCCATTGCCGTTTGTTACCGCCAAGTATTCATTCCCCTGTTTGGCGGCAGGACTTTAAGGCTCGTAACCAATAGGGGTACTATTTCCTTAAAATGCTAACACTATATTTTGCTGCTTTGATCAATTTAAATGGCTGCATTTTAATTTAAAACGGGGCGTTAGGAAAAATGGGCCAAAATACGGCTAAAAATGGCATGTGTTGTTAATAGCCTCTCTTGTTGTCCTACAGTCGGGGGCAACTTTGTCCAACGTTTTCTGCCTAGAACAATAGAAATTAATTGTTTTCTATCAAAGCGCATTTATATAGTATCCATTCTATTGTCATTTTACATGTCTTTTCCGCAGCCAAAGCAATCATTAAACTTTATGGCAGACAGTGGGAGCACAGGTATTTGATTCACAAAGTGAATGGACGATTTTTTTAGCATCATTATTTGAGAAAACCATTCAAACAGCATGGGGATACCCAATTTAAAATTCAGAAAACGCCTTACATTGGTGAGACACAAGAAATGCTTCGCGAATATTTTCCCAGTAATGAGGAGAGATGAAGTTGGCGTTCTCAAGAAGCGCCGTATGATACATCACAATTTACATGAACACGCACCATATTACCTCTTTTTAAAATTTGCAGGTAGAACAGGAACACATCGCTACTATTCTGAATACTAATATTACCATAATACTTTTGGAAATTTACGATAGAAGAATTATCATGAGATGAGAGATTGCGATTTGTACAAGATTAGGATAGATTTCACTTGTGATACTCTAAGTACGTAGTTATTGTGTTGTGGCTTGGTTGATTCTCACTAGCACCTCCTCTGATTAATGCAATTCGCAGGTATTTCAAGGCAACTTAAAAGCTCACTGAAAATTCCCAGTTAAGATTTGAATGAATGACGTTAAATTGGAGACAATGGGGCCACTTTCAATGCCTCTTCGTAACATGTAATTAAGAAGACGGCAGACAATGGCCACTCATGACAGTAATAATGAAAATAAATATGGGAAGTTAAGCTTAACGCTATTGTAATACATGTCTAGTTGAATGTACCTTTTAGGCGAGAGGCGGTCAGTAAACGCTGGTCGAACGCCATCCGTCTAGGAGGACGAAACCTTCCCTGAACACGCCTTAACCGCGATATCTGTGCCCCTTTTGTTATCTCTACCCAACATAGCATACCCTCCTCGTTCAACTCGTCTACTCGTTTCAAGGGTATAAAGAGAGGGGTGAAAGAGTGGAACATTGAACTCATTACACCTTTAAAATGCGGTAATTATTAGTTTAACTCTTTGATTTTGTAATGGGCCACTCAGGGAATCCGCTATGGCCTTTGGACATGCAAGTAGCCTCAATCCCTTCTGTGCGTCGACAATACATATTCCAGCCGAGTAGTATGTCTTCTTTTGTCTTCAGGGAAGTCTCGGAGAGCTGCACTATATCCAATTCTTTGACAGGCAAATTCATTTTAGCACTTTGATAGTAATGCAGCACGTTTGCCACTAACAATAACTTTTAATGTTAAAAGTGATGGCAAACAGTGCAAATATTTCCCGCACCTTGCCATAGTGCATTTGCCAAGGGAGTTCATTTAGCCTACTATAGGCACAAAATACCTAAGTAACAGATGTTAAAAATTTCCATTCATCAAGTTTCAAAGGAAGTCTTTTCCAGATCTTAGGCTGGATATTTAAAGGTGATATGATGTCTTCGTTGTTCCCCTGTTCCGTCCTTGCTTTCAGACTCTTAGATCGAGAAGATTGGCTAGAGGAAAGTATTACTTAGCAAATCATCAAAGTGTTGTGGGGAGACCAGCATTTGCCTCCCACTTAAGATAAATGCGTACCAATTTTTTATTCATCCACTCGTCAAATAACAGAGCTGATTTGATAAATACATGAACGGAATTAACAAAAGTTTCATTGCACTGCTGCTACAGAAATTATACATGTTCTCAGGGTTTATAATACATCCAAGGTACGCGCTTGCGAATTCATTTTCTAATTTGAAATAAATACAATTTTTTGTCACAATTGGCACACGTTGTGCCTAACTTCAAAAAACCATAAAAAATACTGCACGGAGGAAATAAAGGTCAGGAATTTTGAAGAAAATGACAAAATCCTTATCAAACACCTCCATGAAAGCGCCACTAGAGCCGTTGTATTTAAAGAAGTGCATTGAAATAGGTCAGAATTGCAAAGAATTAGGAATGTCAATATAATACTTTGGTTGTTTATTTAACTCTCGTTTTTAGTAAATAGACCACTCAGGTGCTCTGCCATTGTACCTCCCCCGGGTGGCCTGACCTCCGGGCTTTGCCAGCAGCCTCAAGCTCTTTTGAATGTTGAATATATATATATATATATATATTCATCTATTCTGCTTTAGCATCACTTCTTCTTTCGCCCTTAGGGAAGTCTCGGATCTATACACTGGTGGCAGCGGAAGGCAAACCCGATCATAAGGGACATCTGCCCTGATTTCTATTTCTGGGTAATAAACCTCAGTGGGATGTAAGAAGTGCATATGCTATGGATGGATGAATCGGTGATGACTCCTGACAGAAGGGCTGAAAATGACGTCTTCCTTCGATAACCACCCCAGTTCCGTGATCTGCAGAAAAGCTATTAACAATTTAAGCAATTCTGGTCGTGAACCATCTAAAATTGTTCCTTATGGTGTTGTCTATTGGTCCCTAATGATGATTTTATTTATGTGGACTCAATCACTTTCCTACTAGCTGATTCGAAACAAGACATATGTAGGTGGGTAACAATGAAGTGAAAATAATGTGGCAAGGAGAAAAAGACGCAAAACAGTGTTAAACCCTGTTTTTTTTTTGCTATTTGACTCTGTTTTTAGTCCAGTGCTCCCACGACTAGCTATGGATATGCACGATGGCCAGCGAGTCCTTCGTCCGCGAATCCTGTTCTCACACAAGGTATAAACTCCAGATCCAGTGAAGTCGTGGTCAGGTATCTTCTTAGTTTTACGCAAAATCGTGGGTGTTTCACAGTATAAATTGCGTTGAGATAGCTGACGACAGAGGTTGATGAAGGGGAGTGCCGGGGACGACGCTCAAAAGGGGAGGGGGCTTTGTAATACGTTAGATGTTAGTTTAACTTCCGGTTTTGATAAAGGCGCCAATAAGGTGCTCCACCATTTTTTCTTCTACGGGGGGCTGGCCTATGGGCCATGCCAGTAGACCCAAGCCCTACCGTACGTCGATAATATTCCTTCCGAGTAGTACGTCTTCTTTCCTCTTTAGGTAAGTCTTAAGATGCTACAGTCAACAAACTAGTTCAATTCGATGATTAAGTTATTGAGGCAGTAGGTTAGTTGTACAGTGAAATTCAACTGACTTAAAATATGTTATGACGAGAGCGATTGTAGATACGGTCGTGCTTCTGTACATTTGGCTCATACATCTTGATCCGACACCCATTCACCGATAGAAGTGGAGACCTTCACCCTGGCCTTTTTCTTTCCTAAATTAAGTTAAGCATTTCTGATAAAACGAGAAAAAAATCTTGTGTAAAAAAGATGCAAATTTATCATTACATTACTGTAGATTAGCTGCGTCTGTAAAAGCCACTTTAACTAACAAATGAGCATCCAGTGGACAACACATTTACACCTTTTACAGACTTACAATGTAGCATACTATTGCCGCGTGTACGACACTAGTTGTATACCAATAAGGTCGGTAATGCATAGAAATCTTTCACTTCATTTCAAAATTGAAAAACGTAATTCATTTTTACATTATTAATTACACTTTCAGAGTTTAGGAGTAGTGCGTGACTAAGGTGGTCATTAAAAGCACCTACGCGACCATTCTATTCATGGCAATATCTGTCGCCCTCTTCGGTGGGAATTGTTCGCACCTGTGGGCCAGTTGTTGCAGCCAAGGTAGGGTTCGGTGGAAAGTTTAACTTAAAATTGAGCTCGAAAATCTTAATTGTTCCCTTGTTGTTATTGTTAGTGCCCAAAATTTATGAAAAACACTGCCCAACTCGGAAGCCTTTAATAGACTCTTTATTTCGGTCCTATGGGGATTCCTACATGCCGTGTAGGCAAAGAATATGTGCTAACCTTATGCGGCAAAGTAAAATGTCCCGGTTCCCATGTGAAGTTGTGAAAACATTGTACTTTTATGATGGCAATTTACATTTCGAGGTGTCTTTTTCGATTAGAGGTGTATCATTGAGAACAAGCAGTAATTCTCTAATAGGCGGGATTGTGTAAAGTGAGTTTCCATCAAGCGTTTTAACTACATTTTACATTTTAAATATCGGAAATGTTCAGGAACGGGTAGATCGAATAGAGCGATTGTTTTGTAAATCTTCTTTTTCCATGCCGAATGTCTGTCAGCACCGGTAATAATTGCAATAAAAAATTCCAAAACTGTCATTTCCACCATCACAATGAATTCTGCTGGTGTCTGAAAAGTTAAAAAAATTTTATAAAGGCACAAAGACATTCTAACCATCTTCCCTATTCCCCTTTCATCATAAGCATATGTTTCCGAACACGCATATCTGAAGAGAAGGGAATAAAATATATGGATTAAATAATCCATCGTTTAATGAAACCAAGTACTTTTAATAATTAAATGGCAGAGACGTAAGTGATGGTAAGGGTTTAAACATCTGACTGTCTAAACCCATATTTTTTTTAAAGGATGCATAGGTGATTTCATTAAAGTGCTTGATATTTAGGATAGGAAGCCGAGATTTATGAAAATTTGCTCCCCATAAATTGATTTGCAGAAGCAATTATGGAAGTAGCTTTCTAATAGCATACAGGATTCAAAGTCTGGGCTCTGGGCTCGTAGAACGAAGTCAATGCTAACCTCACTTTTCATTCCACGATTGTAGTGTACAATAAGAGTTTTGTAAAGTCCAAATTTCGGCATTATCCGGATAAGTTCAGGTGATCGTACGCCTTCTGCAACAAGCGCGCGTGTGTATCTTTCAACATTGATGTAGAAAAACTCGCTGCCAAAAATAAATAATGTACAGATCAGGGTAGAATGTAAATATGTTACTTAAAAAGCATAAGTAGCAAATAATAATTAGTTTAAAATGACTTGTAGAGAAGGTAACGATTTCCCGGTCGTCGAGTCGATAGGGCACACGGACACGAGAACACCCGCAGGAAGGTTGACTATTGCCTTGGCTTACCGGAAGTTGCTGAACCATTTGACCAGCTGGGCTGTGTTGTAGCGATTAAACGTTACCTCTGGGAAGAAGTATTTAAGGTAGGCAGAATTCGGATAACGTGCGTAGAGGAACATCAGCTTTGCCTTTCGTAGATGCTCGTCACTCAGAATTTCACCCTTAATTTATGTGCATTTGTAAGCAAGCCTATTTGAATATACTCGACTAATTTAGGTTATTATCACGCAATCTGGTACTCCAGAATCTATCTTTTATGATTATTCTACGAAAAAGGTAAATGCTTAATTTACGAAGACTTTCACTTGTAATTATATTTTACAAAGGAAAGATCTAATCACTTCTTCTTCCTAGCAGTGCTAACATAAAGGGAATAAAAACTTCAGCTCTCCATTATCATTGTATAAATGGAGGTCTTATTCCAGGTTTCAGTAGAAAATATTTCCGCTTATTACTTCCTAAGAAACACCTCTTTGAGATCACTATAACGGAGTAAAAATATACTTACAATCAACGGCCAGTATCACTCCGACATGTTCATCATATGTAAGTAAAAAAGGCGATTGCAGTCAACCTACCTTCAGAATGCGTTGGACAGATGTAACCTTCGAAACTGTCATCGCGCGCTCAGAGCTCAAGTTCATTGGTCCTTCAAGAGGACGATGATTTATTCGATTAAGAGGCGTATGGATCTCTTTGCAAGCCGCCTTCTGTTGTCGTTTCCATATATTTTCTTTTCCTATGCCATTCTCAGCCAACCGGTTCTCGATCTGTCGCATACTGAGTTCCATGATCTGGGAAAAATCGTGACCTCCTTGCTCTAATTCTGATTCCTGACTCCAAATAGCTTCTCGTGACCCATCTTTGATCGAAAGCCAAAGTGGCAGATTAGCTTGCATGAGCATTGGAGTGTTTAAGAGCAAGGATGGAGGCGGGACGATGTAAACAGCTTTTGGCGGACTCATGTAAAATTGTAGGCTGTTACTAACTTGCGGTGGAGTTGCGAAATCTGGTTCAAAATGCGTCCGCTGATCCAAAACTGAGCATGTGAATAATTTTGCATTCCGAGAAAAAGTCATTGTGGTAAGCTATAGTTTGGAGTACAAATACACGAAATTAATGTGGGAGTTGTTCCAAAGATCACAGGTGGACAAAAAAGTGAGTAGCACTTCTTTTCCTTTACCTATCCAGGCACATTTTTTATGGTTTTTTTAAGCATAAAATAACATGGGATATGTAAAATAACTATTAAACATTATTTGAAAATGGGGTAATGGTGCATAATTGGGTCTGTACAGTAGGGGTATGCTTTTTTTGCAAATAGAACTTGCTATGAAAATACGAATCCCTGGTTAAAATGAAGGATAATCTGATGGCCCAACTCACCTCTGTAAACCACTGACTAGAACAGGTTGAGAAGAGTGTATGACGCGTTCCATTTATATAGGGTTCGGTGTCAGCCCATGGACCTTCGGCCATTGGACACTCATATTTTGGGTGCCCAGATTTTCGCGACAATGGAGTACTGGTGGCGGCGGCTGGAAACTGTGGAGGACCTGCATATGCGATTCGACTGTGACAGGGGAAGTCGGGGGGTGGGTAAGGCAGAACGCATTTTTATCTGCGCGAGGAATTAATGCGACATTTTCTCCATTTGCTTGAAAACAGCGTTTTTTAGAAAAATGCTGGTAGGCCATTTGCTCAAAAAGCAGAATGTGATTTCCTTTAACTCGGTCTTTATTTTGCAAGGGCTTCATCTCCAAGGCTGTTAAAGGAGCGCGCATTTTACAACGAGTCGCACTTTTGTAAGTTTACTAACACACACAGTTTCTTCAGTCTGTTTCTGGAACAACAGAATGGCCAACCATAAATTCCATTTGGAAAATAAATGGAAATTGGGCGTGACCCAAAACATTATCTCATCCCATAACAACTTAAAACCAGCACAAAACTAGTAGGGAATTTAACCCATACTAAACTCATGGAAAAATCTGGGATATATTTAAGAACAAATCTAAAAAAATATTTTCACCATCAAATGTCGTGTTATCATCGTGGTTTTTGATAACTGTTAGAGAGGGGTACGAATGGATTTAACGAGAGGATTCAACTGCAACTTCGATATGCTAACTTCTTTTGACTTCGCATAATGCGCCAGCATACGCCTACTGGACTTATTATTGCAAACGCAAATGCTGGGAATTAAATGAATGAATTGCAAGACTACGATTAAGGTGATCTTGGTTTACTTGGTAAATTCAGTGTGTCTTGCCATGCACGTTGCGCTGAATGCTATTTCCCTGCATCACCCTGATTTCAGCCTCTAGGTGACCCAATTTTTATGACCACTTGCGGTCAGTGCTTTCGATTTGTTTTTACAGCCAAGTGGTGGCACTCAATTGCCTGTAGCATCAGTCAAGAATCCGCCATTAGCAAGCCTTTTGCGCTGGCAAGTTTAGCTAATTACCGTGGCTGTAGACACAACTACCCGCCACCCTGATTGCAGAGCCACTCTCCCCCACCCGGCGGAGATGTGGGCGCCACGTGACCCGCCTTTGCTTAAGTGACATCCCCTTCTTCGCATGCCGTCTCAATGGGGAGGTCCTAACAGCCAAAACAAGATGCAGAGAAGTCGCTTTTGAAAGTCCGCTTCATAAGCAAGTTCGTTTTATGTGACACAACCACAGCAATAATATCAAAACAGCTAAAAAATGCAAAGGGATTTACTTTTGCGTATTTTTAAGAAACTCGTACATATTTTTTTGAAGGGGTGCCGTTACATCCTGCTAAAGTTCATCTACCCCAGATTTGGTGTAGAGAAGGTGCCAAACAGATTATTACCGATCGTATAATCGCCTCCGCGTAATACAGCAATGCATGAAGAAATGGTAGCTGCATCATGGAGACAATGGAGGCGCAGTAAACGTGGCTTAGTTGTCAGCGTCAGTGTCAAATGCAGCACACACAAGCATGGGATGATGGCGTTTAACTTAAGCTAACACCACTTTCTTGTTACCAGTCCTTTGTTCAGACTCAACGTGATCATGCTGCCCTTCCCTCATCTCCACTCTCTTCCCGCTCCGATTTATCAGTACCATCGCCATGCGGTGTGAGCCAACCCGCATCATTGCTTAGGTGAGGGCATACAGAGGCGACAATAAAAACTGGTACCCCCATTTGCTCTATGCAAAAACCGATTCGTGAATTATTGAAGACGAGAGGTAAAGATTCATACCTGCCTTCAAATGTGGCATCTCAAGTCCCCAGTCGAATTAAAGCATTTGTCCAACATACTCATTTCTAAGTTGCGGAAAAGAGAAAATACACAAAGTAATTTGCATCAATTATCTGGAAAATGGAAAAATTAGATAAGAGAGGAACTGGTGGAAAGAGGTAACTGGAAAAGAAACATGAAACAAAATTACTGGAGAAAGAAAAAGGTTTGAGGACTTGACACTTATTTAAAAGAATGACAGAGACTATTTACACGCAGCAGTTGCAGTAGCTGTCATAGTTTTACCCCCTGTACGAATCCGTTTGCCTTAATTATCATGGCAATAATTTTTCGTAACTTGCAATTAAATGAACAAATAGTATGGGATTTGCTAAGTTTTTTGGCCTTGTTTTAAAAAAATTGAGTGAAAGGGCAGTAGGAAGGAATGTCGAAAACAAATGGAATGCCTCTACCCGTGGTGTGTGTTTGGGAAGGTAACACTAACTTTGCACACAGACTATAATTAGAAGTCAGAATTTTACTAGCTCCACCAAAGCTTTGCTGAGACATCCGGACCTTGAAGAGGCGATTAAATTCACATTTACTGGTTTACAGTGAGCTGAGACTTACAGTTACATTTTCATAGCATAACTAAGGCGTGTTTCAAGGGTAATCAAATCCCCTTGGTTAAAAGTGTTAGGCAACCAGTGAGCACAACGAGACAGTTTGATGTTTCACTAGGTGAAATTTCTTTAAGTAATATACAGCAGTCGTAGGGACTGAATAACTGTGGCATGTCGTGTTAGCAGTAGTAAAAACTACGTTCTATTTAGAGTTCATTCTGCCATTTCAGTAAGGAATGACGCTCACATGCTTTATTATTTACGGTAGGAGAGGGAAGTCCGGTAAAACCGTAAGATTAAGCCACAATTTAAAGCGGATAATAAAATCCAGGCGTCAGGTATAATTAGTCGCTCATATGGACTAATCTGGAAAGATGCGACACGAAGTATTTTATCCATTTGAATTGGTGACACATTGTTCATCAAGGCTTTCCTTTTTCGCTTTATCTAGAAAAAAACGCACCTCGCAGGGTTCTGTGCTAGCTACACGAAAGTGCGATACCCAAAAAGAAATAAGTACGCGAACACGGAAATCCATGAGGTAAGGGAAGTGATCCCAGCGAAACAGAAATAGGGCATATGATTCCACCCAACCGTTTGCTGAACGAAACGTCGATGTTTGCATGATTTGACCCTCCCAAACGACACTTACACCCATCATTTGTCGGCGTTGGCAAGCCAACTAATGGATAAAAATAAATTACTTCCAATTAGCTAATTTATGGAGTGTGTTTTGAACGGTGAGGATCATCTGAATTTCAGAGGCAGTGCAAGTGAAAAAGTGAAACGTCCCCAAGGAGAAAGTAGGGAAAATTTTCGATGAACGTTGATATGCCAAAGTGTAATGGACTTGAATTCATTTTAAAAAAGACACTCATAAATTTGTCTAAATGTCGCCGAAAATCCAAAGAAACAATCTCAAGTGTTGTTAAAACATACGACAATAGGAAATTTTCTGTTGTCAATGGTACGCACTAATGTACCGAACCAACCACGAGGAAGCAGAGGAAGCTGGATCTTTTTACTTGGCATTAAAAGGCATCACTTTAAAGGAGAACATATTTAATGCGTCAGACAAGTATTTTGATTATAAAAGTTCTAGTCAGGTAAAATATTAAAAAAATGTGGAGTAACAAATGAAGGAACTACCAAGTCGATCTTTAACGGAGCCCTCTGGGGGTCCAAGTTATTGCTAAAGCCAAAAATGTAAAAGATTGCGCGATTTTAGGTTTTGTATTACCAGTTAATTATTTTGAACATCGGAAAGTTATGAAGAAGCGCTGAAAGCAAATGCCTGCCAAGTGCTGAACCTATCAATTCGGTAAGAAATTGTAATCATGTGTTGGTGATTCGTAGTGGGAGTTGTACAAGGCGGCAACACCCACAGCATTTATGTGTCTTTAAATCAAACATTGTAGAGACGTTTATAACTTGTGTGCTTCGTTGGTTGCAGCGATGTGAAAAAACGCATAATTCTAAAATATCGCTGAGCTACTTCAATGAAATATTTGCGTGCATGATAAAGTCGTTCGAAGACATAAATTTGGAAGGGAATTTTTCATTTTGACGTCGCAGGCAAATTTCCGCTTTCTATCAATCTAAACACTCGTAGCTTCCCGCCGCCGCCTTGAAGACGGAAGAAGGCGTAATACTGGGGTAGATTATATACCGTCAACACACAAAAGGGTGTGGGTGGGGAGGGCTACTAACACAGCCCGAAGGCCAGGCTGCCGGTGGGCGGTAGAATGGCGAAGCCCCGGCGTGGCCCCTTTAACAAAAGTGAGAGTTAAATAAAAGCCTTTTTATACGCTAATGGAAATGAGTGGTTAATTTAATCAACTTCGCTTAAGCAGCTATTTCAAGATGATTTACAGGGAAGCTTAAATTACAATGTGCGCATTTCAAGTCGTAGCTACAGAAAACACGGGCAAGTGAATGTTGACAGAACTACACCAACGCTGTACCTTTGTCCGCATACTCGGCGAGCAGTCATAGATGGCGACAGTTCACTTAGGCTACTCAGATTGTGACAAAAGGTCTTGGAGCTGTTCGGAGGCACAGAAGGGTAACAGTGATGCTCCAGTAGCCCATTTCCAGGCTAACTCAACCTTGAATGAGGGGAGGTGATGACATTAGCAGACCAGAATATGGCTTCGGTGAGACAAAAGTGGTGCGTAAGAGAATTTCGGATTGTTCCTATTTTTTGACAACCGTGTGTGTAAGTGGGACCGTTTCATCAAAAAGTAAGTCACAGCACTGGTTCAACTTCTGAATTTCATGATTTTAAAGTGCATACAAGTGGAAAAATCGTCTAAAAATTTAAAAAAAAAACACTCAGTGACAGCTTTTGTACTTTTTTTTTCTGATACGCTTAAACGCGAAACTTTACCTGATTTTTAGGAAAATAGCTAAAATGCCCATTTTACCGTCATTTACAAATTTCAGAATCAAAAAGTAATATAATAAACAGGTTGAAATAAGGATATTGCAAGATTACATAACTGCTACCATCACAGAATTTGTTGCTACAACAGTGAGGTTGAAATCATTTATAAACAACTACCTCAGTGTCCCTGAGACTAGTCTGACTGACCTTGGGTCATATGCCTATGGGGAAGCACCGGTTGATGGTCGTTTTGGGG